GTAGTTATGTCTGAGGACATGGTTGCGGATGGATATGAAGACATAATGAACATTGACATTTCATCAGTGGCCATTGACATGATGAAAAGAAAATATGAGCACATACCTCAGCTGAAATGTATCCTTTTGAAAACTTACTTCATTAAAATTACCAGTACAATTTTGTACTGCATTATCTTTAGTAAATATTGCAGACTCTAGGCATGTTTCCTATACAATTAGACATGCAAATGGATGTTAGGGATATGAGTGTCTTCCCAGATGAATCATTTGAAGGTGTCATTGATAAAGGTATGTATCATTTCTTTGTTTTAGTCATTTTAGAATACACAATACCGTAGACTAATTTTTTCTTTTGTCTTAATGAAACTGTGTTGCTGTCACCACTTTTTGCACCTGTGGTCTGTCAAAGGAACTCTTGATTCACTGATGGTATGATGTCTGTCGTGATGTTCTTATGACTCCTCTTAGTCATTACTTGAACACACTCTAATTCTCTTATTTGTTCTTATATTTCTAGTGTGGCAATGATGCTCCAATTAGTGCTGCTCAAATGCTAGGGGAAGTGAGTAGGTTGTAGACTTTAAGACTCAATTGACAGCTGCAATTTTTCATATTACTGGATCAGTACACAACTTTTTTCTATTTAAAATTTATTCTTTATTGTTTACTTTTATATTCCGTCAATAATCACAGTTGTTATTTTGCTTGTAGGCTTCTTAAACCTGGAGGGATCTATTTGTTGGTAACTGTGCACCCTTAGATGAGGCTTTATATTTTACATTGTTCTTTCTTTTATTGAAATCTCAAAATACATAATCTGTTCTTCAACTGCCACATAGCAGATAACCTATGGTGATCCTACAGTAAGGATGCCTCATTTGATCCGGCCAGTGTACAATTGGAAAGTTAATTTGTACATTATACGTAAGTTTAGTTTTCATATCATATTAGTTCGTCCATTTCCCTATTCAAATATCTATCATTTTTCAATTCATTTTCCAGAAGTGATTTTGCTTCCACCTTGTTATTTGATTCACACGTAAAATCTTTTGAAGTTGTTGATTTTAGTCCATTCTAAACTACGTCTCTACCCACCTTCGGGGGATCTTGTTTTGGATAATCAACAGAGACGATGATGCTATGATTTTGCTTGGTCCTGTTTCTTGTACGTTTTCTTTTAATTCATTAATTGTTGTTACAATTGATGATTGAGGCGCCTTATTTGTTTTGTTATCCTTTTGATTATCTTTTCACAGCCAGACCAGGATTCCAAAGGCCTGAAGGTTGTAGTTCATCAATAAAGTCATATTTGGAACCTATTCCTATCACCGAGAAGGGCTTACTTCCAGCTGAGTTTGTTTTGGAAGATCCAGATTGTCACTTTATATATGTGTGTAAAAAGGATGATATGGAGCTAAGTAGTGCAACAACTTATGGATTGACAGTTGATCTCTTACAGTGATTACTTGCAGTTGGAGCACTGATGAAGGTATAATGGTCATCCTTGGGTGTCTGACGGACAAAGGATTCTGTTCAATGTATCTGCCTGGATTTTAGGGATGAAAATCTAAAACAAAAAACCCAATAAAATAAAATCCTCCTGAGAAACCATAGACACATTATCCCCATCTTTGATTTCTTTTATTGTATCAGTAAGTAGCTACCAAAACAATTACAAAAATAGATCTGTGATATTAAGTTCATGGAGATGTGATGGTTGTTTTGGCATGCTGGTTGCTAGAATGCATCATTGTGTCGATCCTCCAGTTTGTTCAAGTTTACAACCAGTTTTTATTGAAAATTCTTTCAATCGTGGACTTGTTTGTATATCAATCAGGATGCTCGGAATGAAGGGCATAGGAGATTGAAACATAAGCTTGTATATTCCAATGAAGGTGGTTGCCCCTGCGCGTATTTGTGTTTGTTGGTTTGATCCATGTTTATGTTAATGGAGAAAACGTTGGCATTGGGTAGGGGAGGGCTATGATGCCAGCCAGCATCGAGCCCAACGTATTGTCTGAGATGGGAGGTTACAAAGCAGAGACTTTTTTTTTATGTTGTTGATAAAAAAGCGATAGAAGTTTATTAGATCAAATGGACAAAAAGAGTACAAAGGAAAAGACAGTAAAGGGAGCCATCCCAATAGCAGTACGGTGACATGGGCAAAAGGGTCCTAGGGCTAGTTTGGTATTGCTGTGCTTTTTTTAAAAACTGCTTCTGCTGTGCTGTGACAATAAACAGCTGTGAAAAAAAACAACTAGGCGTTTGGTAAACTATATTAGAAAAAGTGCTGTGAAGAGTCGAAGTGTTTGGTAAATTTTTATTAGAAGTGCTTTTAGTATGTATAATGACCAATAAGGACGTGATGATGAAATTGTTACTTATTTTGCTGCAAATTCTAGAATTTTAAAGTAACAAAATTAGTTCCAATTCTAAATATTGTGACCAAAAATATATAAAAATAAAATAAAATAAAAAATTAGAAAAGTAACCTAAAAAAACCCCATCCCACGGTACCCACCTGTATCTCTCTCTCTCTCCATTGCCCCAAAACACCAAGAGAAAAAACCCAGATCAAGAATTTTAAGAACCAAAAACTCAACCCAAACCCAAATAAAAACTGTGTTGTCATCAAAGAAAACAACAAGAAGGAAATCAAATCCAAATGAAAATTTTGTTTTCCTGTGGTTTTGATTTGAGTTTCAACTTTCCCTTGATTTTGGTTTCCAAGAGAAGGTCAACGAATTGTTGATGGGTTCAAGAATCCATTTTTTGTGAAAATCATTGATGAAGGAGGGTAGATGCTTGTGTTGCTATCGATTTTGGTCCTCCACAATTAGCATACAGATGTTTGAAGATATATTTGGGGTTTGGATCTTTTGTGGTTGGAGTGGATATCACAGACTGGGGGGCTGGGGTTGAGTTTTTTTTAAGATGTGGTTTGGATTTTTGTGGCTGGAGTGGAGAGCTAGGGGCTGGGTTTTTTTTTGGTCGGAGGGGAAGAAGATGAATCGAGTTGCAGACAGAAGTCGAGTTGCCAAAGAAAAGAAGAAGAATCGAGTTGCAGTACCTTAACGTAGAATAGAAAGTGAGGATAACGGATGTCATTTGCTAAAATAAATGGGGGTATTATAGGTATTTTGAATGTTTCATTAATTGCTCCGCATGCTTCCATCCGCAGCAGTTTTGAGAAGCACCTCTTGAGCTGCTTCTGAAATCTGCTGTGAGTCACAGCAATTTTGAAAAAAAGCAGCCTTATCTTGATTTACCAAACACTTTTTCATTCAAAACTTAAAAAATAAGCTGCTTCTTTTAAAAGTTAAGCAACCCCAAACTAAGCCCTAGTGACATGAGCTAGCCAAAAAACTAATATAGAGAGAATCACTCCCAAAAATAATTTTTCTAAAACCCCTATTTACCGCTATAGTTGTCTTGAATCTAGTCTAATTACATCAAGGATAAATTCGGCCACTAACCTGTTGGTTTTAAAACATTTTTAAGAAGTTCATTTGAATATTAAACATGCATTTAATCAAATTAATCGCAGCGGAAGAAT